CTGTCTGACCCTCTGTACTACGCTGCTTGCTACCTGTTCTGATCCCTGGCTTGTGACCCGGACCATCCCTCTGTCTGACCCTCTGTACTATGCTGCTTGCTACCTGCTGAACCTGGCCTGTGACCCCGACTATTCTCCGCTTGCTCCCCCTGTACCTACCTGCCCAATTGATATTGACCCGGCCTGCCTGACGACGCTTGCTTGTATATACTGTTATCTGTGGGTGGTTTGGTTTGGTTTGTTTGCACTGTATTATGTTTAGTATTGCACTGTGTTTATGTTTGTACTGTTATGTTATAAACAATATAATTTATTAACACTATCTGAGGTCTGCGTTTCCCTGCTTCACACACACCTCTGGTCATACCTGGGAGCCCTGACAGCGAGGTGGGCTCTCATGCTTCCTCCCCTTACTACTCCCCCTCATCCCTGACGTATCCCTTACCCCTATCCCCCCCCTTCACGCTCCCCCCCCTTTTTTTCCCTCCTCCCCTGCAAAAGTTGACCGATATTTCAGTAGTTGAGTTCTAGTGCAGGAGTCTTAACGAGATTGCTCCATGCGAAAAAAAGTGAAGTTCTTATTTTGATTGAGGAGTACCTCCCTTTTTGTTAAAAATGTTCAGTCATTGTTCTGCTTCATTGTCCCTTTCTGTTTCATTTCCCTAGGAATTGCTTATTATTATTATTATGCTGCACCTGAACTCATTGGGGCAATGCCTGGTGTGGTCACTTAGAGATAATCTCTTGAAATGTTAAGGGGCTACGCTCACCAAATAAGCGTATGAAAGTTTTACGACATTTGAAGCATTTGGGGGCAGAAGTGGCACTTTTGCAGGAGACACATCTTTCGGCAAACGATCTTTCACGCCTGTCAAAGCTATGGGTAGACCAGGTATATGGTTCCCCTGCTGTAGGTTGCAAGGCAGGGGAAGCTATACTGTTACACAAAAATTTATGACACACAGGTCCGCTTTCTGAACTCTGATTCTTATGGTCGCAAACTTACCGTTCACATCACTATTGCCTCTCTTGATATCGCTATCTCCAATCTACATGCCCCCAACTCTCCTGGGCAGTCATTCTACCAAGACCTGATATCGTGGGCCCTAGAATACCGGAATCCTGCCATATACTGGGTGGGGATTATAAATTCAGTCATGCACCATTATGCTAATTACATCAGGGACCATTTAACGCTACATGCTCGACAACATCCTCATGCTCCCCCTCCTACTGCCCTAGCACAGTCCATTAATACACTTAATCTTCATGATACATAGCACCTCCACCACCCAACAGACTAGAAATATACATTCTACTCGCACTCACATGAATCATTCTCTTGCATTGACTATTTGTTCTGCTCACAGTCTCTCTTACCCATATTGCGCAAAACTGCAATATTTTATATGGCCATCTCCGATCATAGTCCAATTATGCTACAGCTGTCTGGCTTAAAATCTCAGCAGACCACTAGTCCCTGGTGTTTTTTCTGCTTACCTAGCCAATAAAGAAGACTTCCAGTCTCATCTTTACACAGCCTGGGCGGAATTCACAGATACGAATGGAACCCATTTAACCGACCCCAATCTATTCTGGGAAAGTGGAAAGTCATTCCTCAGAGGGCGCATTATTTCTTTTACCACACAATTTAAAAGGCGATCTCATTTGCAATACCAACAGGCTTGTGAATCTCTCCATCAAGCACATATCGCGCTCTCCCTCAACCGCACTCCAGCGAACAAGCAGATCTGGCAATCGGCTAAACGAGCCTTTGATTATTGGGCTGAGCACCAGGAGGCAGCCAAATCGACCTGCTCCACCCTAAAATTTTATAAATATGGCAATATGATATTAACACATTTCTCACATCTTATTACACCTCTCTGTATTCGGAGGACCCGATTGATTCTAAGGCCGCTGCAGACTTTTTAGCCTCTGTGAATCTGCCTAAGCTTATCCGATCTCAGTTAGATACTCTTAATGCTCCCATTACGTTAGACGACATTCATGCCACTATCAAACACCTGCACTCGGCTAAGGCACCTGGACCTGACAGCCTAAGTGCTGAGTTCTATAAACTGACCTTGGACTTCATCCCAGACACACTACATCATGTCTTCCAAGCAATATGGGAAGATGGCCCTTATCTCCCAACAGGATTCCAAGCACATATCAAACTCATAGCTAAGAAGGGGATTGAACCCACTGCTACCAGGATCTTACTGACCTATATCTCTAATCAATGTTGACAGTCGATCAGCGACGCTTAATATCCATAAAGTACTGTTGGCACTAGAATATGCTAAAATCCACCCAATGCATGATCTGGCACACATATCCTTAAATGCCGAAAAAGCCTTTGATAACATAAGCTTCACAAGGCTCTTCATAGTCATGCAGAAGTTTGGTATTTCAGGCTCTATTTTGGACTTTCTACGATAAATGTACTCTTCACCCACAGCTAGACTGGTCACACCTGACTTCATGTCTACTGACATTCCCTTAACTAAGGGCACTAGACAGGGTTGCCCACTCTCCCCCCTTCTCTTTAACATTACTTTAGAACCTTTATCCAGGCTACTTAACTCTGCAGCAGGGGTTAGTGGTGTCACAATTGGCAAACACACTTTTCATTCAGCTCTATTTGCGGACGATATATTATTGTTTTCATCAGATCCACCCTCTGATTTTAGACTACTCCAGAACTTGTTTGCAACCTTCCGTAACTGTTCTGGCTTACGAATCAGTTTTGACAAGAGTGAAGTGCTCCCTCTAAATCCTAATACCTCCACTCGCTGGGTCACGTATTCCCCTTTTTGTATAGCTAAGCATTCTATTACATATTTAGGCATGCACATAGGCAGAGAACCACCATCTCTCTACTACCTTAATTATCCTCCTCTAATTAATAAGATTGTGCAGGAACTGGAAGCCTGGACGACCATTCCCCTTTTACTCTTTGGGAGATGCCGTCTCTTGAAAATGGTCTCATTTGCAAGATTGCTTTACCCTTTGAAGACACTTCCTATTTTGCTAAAGAATTTGGATGTTCAGAAGATACATACGGCCTTGCAAGCCTTCCTATGGCAATTTAAAAAACCACACATTGCATTGCAGAAGCTAAGTCTCCCCAAGAGTGAAGGAGGTGCAGGTCTGCCGAACATTAGATTCTACAATCTGTCCTGCCTCCTTTGACAGGGTCTTGATTGGATTACCATGAAATGACGTTACTCTACTCTTTGGAGGAAGCCCTGGTGCTCCCACTACATTTCTCTGCCATCCTGCACTCCAATCTTAAATCCTTACCTGAGTATCTCCGATCAAATCTTTTGATCACAGACACAGTATTGGCCTAAAAGGGAAATGCGGAAACTTCTTGGCTTATCACCAAGGATATCCTGTTACTTGCCTATCCTTGGAAACCCTATCTTCTCTCCTGCTAGTGAACATGTGGCTTTTACCCATTGGTCACATAATGGACTTAACAAGGCTATCTCTGCCTTTGATGATACCAAGCGATCCTTCCAACCCTTCTCCATTTTAGCTGCTCAATACTCCCTACTGATATCTCATATCTTCTACTATCATCAGCTGGTGATTTATCTCCGGTCCTGTTATCCCCCTACACAGGATCCCTTTTCATGCTCCTTCATAGAGATGCTGCTATGGCTAGACAAATATGCCATATCAGACATCTACCCCCATTTGATCTCTCATCAATCTGCGAAATACCACCTTACTCCATTTAAACCATGGTCCCCCATACTTTCTATTAATGATACCCAAGGAAAAATATTATCGGGATACAGAAAAATTGCTTTGCTTGTTCTCTACGAAGCATGGCGCGAAACTCAATTCAAAATCATTCACCGGGCCTATTATCCTTTCTCCACGAACTCAGCTGTTGCCACCAGTCCAACATGCCCTTGGTGTGCCTACAATCGACCAACCTTGTTTCATTGATTGTGGGAATGTGCTCGAGTATCATTATTCTGGGACCAAGTTCTTCATTACCTCAATCAACTATACCACATTTCTGTTCTCAAAGATCCCATACTCTGTCTCTTTAGTTATGAAGATCCAAAAACTGTGGCACATCCCACTGCCTCACCTCAGTGGATACCTATTTGCCTATTAGTAGCTCGCAGAGCCCTCATGCAAGCCTGGATCCATCCGAACCCCCCATCTCTCAAAATGGTGACACAGACGCTATCTACTCTTTTCAGCTTGGAAAAGCTTGACACCATCACACAAAACTTTAAATCTACTCGTCGCTTTATCTCAAGATGGAGATGCTACATGGAGCATTCTTTTCCACCTGCTGAATTAGTAACCCTTCCGCTATACTGACTGGTATCTCAAAGCTCAACTAACCAAAACATTGGGTAACCTTCAAGTGACCAACTCACTTTCTAGCCCCCCACCTTATTTTTCCCCCTCTCCGTTTATCCCAGGAGTGCACACTCCGCAATAAATTATGTCAAGCCCATATGGTAATCCGTTTAAAATGTTTCTCAGATTGAGAAGTGTTTCTGTTCAGGTTACCACAATTAAGCTTCTGTTCCTAAGGAATTGATTAAATTTTGAAGTTCAGCTCTCATTACTGCCATGTTGTATCCTATGTGCCTGTTTCTAACATTGATTCCTGTCTGCTGTAGTTGCTGTACTGGCTTTTGTATTCATTGTCCTATGCTAATCTTTGGCTGACGGCTTTTTATATCGAGATTGTATTCTTGTATTTAATATAAAAAACCTAATCAAAATTTGATTAAACATGTCCAGTAAAAAAAAAAAATTTAAAAATCAAATTTCGTCATAACTTTAAGCCAAAATGTATTCTGTGACATGTCTTTGCTACAAAAAAATCCAAATACATGTAAATGAAATGGTTTACGTGAAAGCTATAGCGTTTACAAATGGCGGTATAGATACTGGATTTTTTTTTTTACTAATAATGATCAGCAACATAGCGGGACTGAGGGACTGCGGGACTGAAGGACTGCGGCGGGCATTCTGACACTGGGGGGAACTGACTTGGTGTCACTGACATCCCCAGTGACACCAATACAGTGATCAGTGCTAAAAAAGAACACTGACACTGTACTATTGGTACTGGGCAGGAAGGGGTTATCATAAGGGGCAATCAAAGGGTTAACTGTGTGCTGGGAGTGTTTTACTAGATGGCAGGGAGTGTGTGCTTCACTGTAAGCACACTGCTCTGGATGGCTGTGCACAGCCATCCAGAGAAGTGTGCCCGAGCTTACAGGGAGGAGGACTGTTGGTAAACAAAGCAGCCCTCCTCCCCGTCGGTGATTGTCGGTAATCACCGGGCACCGGCGGGTAATCACCAGCTGGCATCCGGTGATTGACAGACGTGACCGCAAATGGCGGCATGGAAAGGGTGCATGCACGGCTCGCACGCACCCCCTACCCGGAAATGCAAAATCAGATATATATGTGATTTTGCGCACCCATGCCGCCCTGTAGCAGTATTTCTGCTATAGTGCGGTCGGGAAGTGGTTAAAAAAAACAAAGTCACCAAATATGATGGTGGGTACTTCATAGAAGAGGCGATATCCCCAGAAGATAGTAGTAGGAGGGTGAGAGCAGTAAGGTGTGACCGGTATTTATACAAGGTCAGGTGAGGCAGTGAATTGGAAGTGGTAATATTGTGGAGGCTTAGAAAGAGCAGGAGGTGATAAGTGCAGTAATACTGACAGGGAAAAAGTGACTTAGATATGTACAGTTTGTGGGGTGGAGAGGGGGTAAAGAAATGAGAGCTTGAGGAGAGAGGGCGTTATTGCAAAGAAGGCGATTAGTATGAGCATGTTGGAGGGTGGGGCAATGGGAAAAAGAAGGCTGAGGGAGAGAGAAAGGATGAAAGGGAACTTCCAGACAACTTGGTGTGGAGCACAAGTAGTCTGGAAGATCCCTTCCATCCTTTATGTCTCCATCTCTCCCTCAGCCTTCTTTTTCCCCTCTATCCACCCTCCAATATGCTCATAATAATCTCCTTCTTTGCAATAATGCCCTCTCTCCTCAAGTTCTCATTTCTTTACCCCCTCTTCCTGTATCCTCCTCTTCACCCCACAACCTGTACATGTCTCCCTCACTTTTGCCCTCTTAATATTACGGCACGTATCATCTCCTACTCTTTCTGAGCCCCCACAATGTCACCACTTCCAATTCACTGCAGCACCTGACCTTAATACACTGCTCAAACAAATTAAAGGAAGACTTTAAAAACACATCAGATCTCAATGGGGAAAAATATCATGCTGGATATCTATACTGATATGGACTGGGTAATGGGTTAGGAACATAAGGATGCCCCATCGTTTGATGGAAATGAAAATTATCAACTTACAGAGGACTGAATTCGAAGAAACCCTGAAAATCAAAGTGAAAAAACGATGCAGCAGCCTAGTCCATTTTGCTGAAATTTCATTGCAGCAACTCAAAATGGTACTCAGTAGTTTGTATGGCCCCCACATGCTTATATGGATGCCTGGCACTGTCTGGGCATGCTCCTTATGATACAATGGATGGTGTCCTGGGGTATTTCCTCCCAGATCTGGATCAGGGCATCACTGAGCTCCTGGACAGTCTGAGGTACAACCTTCGGATGGACCAAAACATGATATCCCAGAGGTGTTCTATTGGATTTAGGACAGGTGAGCGTGGGGGCCATTCAATGGTATCAATTCCTTCATCCTCCAAGAACTTCCTACATACTCTCGCTACATGAGGCCGGGAATTGTCATGCACCAGAAGGAACCAAGGACCCACTGCACCAGCGTAGGGTCTGACAATGGGTCCAAGGACTTCATCTTGATACCTAATGGCAGTCAGGGTGCCATTGTTTAGCCTGTAGAGGTCTGTTCATCCTTCCATGGATATGCCTCCCCACACCATCACTGACTCACCACCAAAACGATCATGCCGAATGATGTTGCAGGCAGCATAACGTTCTCCACAGCTTATCCAGACACTTTCATGTCTGTCACTTGTGCTCAGAGTGAACATGATCTTCTCTGTGAAAAGCACAGGTGCCAGTGGTGGACCTGCCAATTCTGGTGTTCAATGGAAAATGCCAATCCAGCTCTATGGTGCCAGGCAGTGAGCACACGGTCCACTGGAAGATGTCGGGCCCTCAGGCCACCCTCATGAAGTCTGTTTATGATTGGTCGCACCAGTGGCCTGCTGGAGGTAATTTGGCAAAGCTCATCCTGTTCCTCCTTGCACAAAGGAGCAGACACCGGTCCTGCTGATGGGTTAAGGACCTTCTACATCTCTGTTCAGCTCTCCTAGAGTAACTGCCTGTCTCCTGGAATCTCCACAATGCTCTTCAGACTGTGCTGCTATAGGTAACAAATCCACACACGTCCTTACCATCTATCCTGTGGAAATTTTGGCAGTAAAGCAAGTTCAATAACTTCAAAGTTAATCTTGAATATTGAATATTGAATTTCACTTTACCCTCACATATGGAACAGGCCATTTGAGACAAATACTCCTTCAAAGTGGTTGTAAAGTTACTTTATGAACTTACTGGTATCCCTTCTGGTTTATAAAGACATAAACTACAATGTATGTGATTTTTGAAAATTATAATGCTAAACATCTTTTCTCACACCCCCATTATGCGGTTACATGATCCTCCTCCACTTTCTGTCCCCAATCTAAGAAGAGCAACTGGAGGAGCTAAGATTCCCCTCTGACATCAGCTAGCCAGCAGAGGTAGATCATGTGACTGCACAATGGGGGGTGTGAGAAAAGATGTGGTGTAAGGTATTATGTTAGATATTTTAGCAGAATAGTGGCAGGAGGGGAAGGGAGGGGAGGAGATCATCTCTCACACTGGCTAGGCAATGACAGGCAGGGAGGTAGGGGGAGAGGGTGAGAGACTCAGAACCCAGAGCGGGATGGTGGAGGCACATAAACTGACCACGGTATTATGGATTAGCAGCCATAATTACCATGGTCAACACACAGAGGAGAGCACAGGAACAGGCAGGATCAACCAGGTACTTTACAGCATAGAATGGGACAAATTACACTACAGAAGCACTATACTATTGATTATGCTTTAAAGAAAGAGGATCAATTTTTTTTTAATGTTACAACCACTTCAACCACTTTCTGGACCTCTTCAATATTTAGGTATATAGATTCCTTCCGATTTGTCTCTACTATATTTAGAAAACTACATGTCCCCTCCTTCAAAGTTTTTTACAGGACCTCACAACTTATAATTACTCCACATACACTTGGTTCAGCAGGATAAATATCCTGAAACTGGATTTTGCACCACGTTTTCTTTACCTTCCAAACTCTCCCTATTACAGTCCCCCTGTCTTTCTTTAAAAATATTACATTCTGCCTATAAGAGATGTATGAGGGGTTCGAGGAAGCAGAAGCTTCATAAGACTATCCACAGACTTCCTAAGCAGGGGGGTGGTGTGGGAGCTCACTAGGATGGTCAACTGTTTCCATAACTCCCCCACCAAGCAATGGATATCTATGGAACTGGTGTAAGTGCCTTGTGATCTCCTTGCCCTTCCATGGACAGCTACTGCTTCTATGATCACGCTCTCCCATTTTCTTCTTCTTACCTCCCATTTTCTGTGTATATGGGATAATGTATCTCTGAAATTTGGGAATTCCTCCAAGGAGGGCCACATGACTCCATTGTTTGGAAATCCTAGTTCCCTCAGGCCATGATCTCATTTTCTCAAATTGGCATATAGGCGATTGGTCGAGATTCTCCTCAGGGGTCATCTCTCTACTTTTCAGCCCATTGATGATGTGGAGAAAGCACCTTTTGCAGAATAGATGAAATGTAGACATCTTAGTTCCTTATCTTGTTCTCTTTCTGATAAGGATTCCCTGACCAGGGACCCAGGCTCCTATGAAGCCATGCTTCTTCAGGACTCCCCACCTACATGCACATTCTCTGCAATTTGCAAAGTCTTACTTTCTCAGGTTTACCATGACCTCCCGGAGTTCATGACCAAATGGACTGCAGATCTGGATGTTCAATTGTCCAAGGAGGACTGGGAGAAAACTTTTGCCTTTACATATTGCTTGTTTTTGGCCAGTAAGGCACAACAAACCAATTTCAAGCTGCTTACTGTGTGGTATTGGTGCCGTACTTTGCTCAATAGATTATACCTCACGGTCTCTACTATATCTGTTGGTACTTCCACACGGATACGGGTTCGTTACTTTATATCTGGTGGGAATGCCCCCCAATCATGATTTTTGGACCCAAACTCTACTGCTGTCACTTGCACAAGATGCAAGAGAAAATCTTTCAGCACATATTGTAATAGCAACTGTCTTAGAGGGTAAAAAATGTGCATTTATTATTTATTGTTTTGGGGGCCTGTAAAGCATTGCACCAGCAATCAGCAGATTGCTGATGCCATCCAGGTCTCCTGCAGACCTGTCAGTGTATCTGTTTCCGTGTACCTTGTACCTTGTACGGGGAAGCCAATACTTACTGAAATAAAGCCTCAATGAACTACTCAATGAACTACCACATCGCTCACAGAGCCATGGTAGTTCATTGAGAACTGTAAGCCGACAGTGGCAAAGGCTGCTGGGACTTGTAGTTTTCTCATTCACAGAATGAATAAAATTGTGACAGCTAGTGGAAGGAGAAGATCCCCTGCTTTTGTTTCTATTTATAATTGAATGGGTTGTTTTACAAGGTGAGGATTTACATTCAGTTTAATTTAGACGGTAGAAGACATTATATTATCGTGTGAAGTAAATAATCCGCAGTAAGCTATTAAAAATAATAGTTTTACCTTTACTTTGCCAAAGCTTCCCTTGGGAATGACAATATTATGGGAATACACCTCCACAGAAATGTCCTTTAGCCATGATACCAGGGATGCTCCACGATTCTCATTTTTGGCTTCAACACTAAAGAATGGAAGTTGATTCCCTGTTAAGCAATTTCTTGCAAGTAAATAGGCACATGAACCTTGAAAGTGGAAAAGGAGTCCATCAAATGTGTGGTAATGAGGGTCTCCAAACACTACACATGTACTGCTCTCAACAGGTAGACACTGGAAATATCTTTCCCTTGGCTCACACACTTCATATGGGCCACAGACTGTCTCTTGACAAGGTATCTCATTATTTAAATCAAGGCAACGGCATTTTGTGGAGCAGTTTGAATTTTCCCAAAATTGCTGTCCTCCTCGAATAAAAAATGTCCTGAAATGAAGATAACATCATCATTAACACCAAATTGTATTTGCATCAGATTATAAATAGGAATAAGCTTTGCATTTGGGTCAGCCATGAATTGGATTTGAAACTAAATCATTCTTGGTTTGAGGATCTGACATACTACTGCAGTTGTTAGTGCCCACAGCAACCAATTACCAATAATGCACTTCCTGGCCTCTAAACTGTGGTCAGGTGGCTTACGA